TAATTTTTTATATAAAGCTATATTTAGAATTTTGTCTAATGAATATCATGTGTGCCCTTAGGGTTCAACAATTGGCTTAGGAGAATCAAATATGTCATGCCTTAACCATGGTATAGTGACTATGGTCCAATAAGAAAAGAAATTAGAAATCAACTAATTAATGACAAAAAAGAGTTAATCAGATTCTAAACTCAAATTTTATGATTCTTAGATATAGACAGAGTCTTTGTATCTAAAATCTTGAATATTCTAAACCTTGCATGCACCAATAACATGAAGAGCATATTCTTGTAAAAAGAAACAAGAAAGCATGTTGGTGGAATTAATTAATATTGGGCTAATCTTCCAGATCTGATAATTATAGTTGATAATATAATTATAAGCAATCATGGATTATATTTTGTGCTTAACCAAAGAGAAAAATTAAAAAGTTTGGATTTCTTTTAATAAATGCATGTGTTAGATGCCCCCATAATTTACCTAATCACATGCTCCCCACCTAATTGAAAAAGGAAAACGTCACTTCTACACTCTTTTCTTGACATTATAGTTGACATTCACAGTGTTGGCAAGTGTTGATTGGATGGAAAAACTGAACAAAATTTAAATTGTCCAATGGTGTGTTGCCATGTGGCAAAATGTGAAAGATTATATACATGTAGCATGATTGATTAAAAAATGGATAATTTGTTTAATTAATATACATTAGCTAGTTCAAAAGTCATGGATTCTTGACTTCAGTCACTTGCAATGGATTGTTTTGACCATAACTTGATCTGGTTAACAAGATTAAAAAATAAAAAATAAAAAAATCTTTCGTGGTACCATAATAGATGATTGTTGTTCAACTACATAGTTTAAAAGATTAAACTATTCGAGAATAAAATTAATTTTATATTTGTAGCTTCAAATATGCATTAGCATGAACCTTCGTCAGTTGAAAACAAAGTCTATTAGTAAGAGTGAATATGGTTCGGTTAGCATGATTTTTGGCTTATTTTCAAATCAAATCATTTTTTACGGTTCGGTTTGATTTGAAAAAATCTGCTAAAAATGCAACATAAGTTTAACTCTAGCAATGCAAATATCTGCTAAAAAATATGCAAAAATTCTGAGGTTAAGACTGCCAAATTCTGCTTATAATGCAGCATAAATTATTATTATTATTATTATTATTATTATTATTATTATTATTATTATTATTATTCCAAGCTTGTCCACCTTTTGTCCATTATTTCTTCTCTTTTCATGGCACGTAGTCCATTATAAACAACAATACAGCCGGACATGCACATTGGCAGACTTCGTTGTAATATTAAGTTATGCTCGAAATATATAAAATAGTTATCCATTATCACGTCTAATTTAAAATACGTAAAATATTTATTCACTATCGTATTCTGTCCCATTGAAAAAATATAATTACGTAAAATATTTATCTACTACTTTCTCTATTATTAATGGGCATGTTTATAGAAAATTTGGGCCTCTTTAGATCTGATAAATGGGCTTGTCTGCGAGCCAGACCAATTCGGCTTAATTGTTAGTGTTTAAAATGGGCCAACTCATAAGTCTAGGTTGGGTTATTTGGCATTGGGTTTGATTAGGACTTTTTCGAGTTCGAATGATCATCAAACTATGCACTCGCATAGGCTATACTAGAGGTGTAAAAATGTGTCTGGTCACCCAAGCTGCTACCCAACATAAGTCATGTCGGGCTATGCCAGGCCCAAGTAACTTAAGTGCCTTGACCCCTATGACGCGAGCCATGAATGACTCCTAAACTATATTTAAAATATAGATCTCACGGGCTGGTCTGTTCGACCGTATTATTGACCAGGATCGAATCTCGCCCGCATTCGGGATGGGCAGAGCATGTTCTATCACCTCGGTTGGGGAGAAAGCTTGAATCCTTTATTTTATATTTTACAGGGTATTTGATATCCATTTTGAAGAAAAAATGAATTTTAGAATAAAAGATTGATGGATAATGTGTAGATGACAAGTTTTTGATTTACGTGTAATATTATTTTAATGAAAAATATATGATTGAAAAGAAAAGAGAGAGAGAGAGTTGCATTTCGAGAAAAACAGGGCCAAACGGGGCCTAAGTATTTTAAGGGTTTGGTAAGTTATACGATAACAAATATTATAATTTAGAGTTTTCGATGAAAGAAGAACAAATAATAAAAATAATGGGAAGAATCAATATTCATGATGTAAGCGCTTTTTCAAGAACTTCCGGCAAGGTTTGTTCTTTTTGGGTTTCTCGATAGAACTCCAGGTCATTTATTTCTTTATTCATCTTCATTTCCAGGGCTTGTCCGACTGTCACAATTAGAGGCTCCGTATGAGATGAAAGTACTTTCGCAAAAGTGATGCTTCAATGTGTCTTAAGGTGGACAAAACGACTTCTTCATATAATGGTTTGGTTTCTGAGAACTCTCCTCATCTCCTTGCAGGTTGACGCTTATAGTCTTACTTAAAAATGTAAAGTAGGTTATGTGACATGTCAGGGTCGGCCTCTCCTCGAACTTGCTTACTGGCCATGCGAATACATTCTCAGTCCAACATTCAACACTTTTTGATCGATCACTAATCACGTTTTGTTAATTAAATTGGAATATAAAAAGGTCTCTTGCATGTTACTCATTTCACCAGAATCTTTGCTTCAAGATACAGAAATTCCTCTAAAGTGAAACTTCACCATATCCCTCGCATCCAACTACCAGTAGGTAAAGCATCTCCCAAGACCTCTTACTTTACACTTTTCATATATTCCATCTACCACTCCAGTCGATTCATTAACGTTATTTCTAATCTATCCGTGATCCATCCCTCTTTTAAACGTGGTGGTCGATCGTGTACTGTAAATTCCTAGGCTCTGCAAAAATTCGGTAAGAATATTGTTCCAATAAATAGCTCTTTTATAGAGCTCAATATCATTCAAAAGCAAGCTAACCGGAGTTTCTTCGCCCCCAAGTTCATGAACAATTGAATGAACGAGTCGTTCAAGAGGATTCAAGCCCTGTGTAAGTATCTGCTTCTTTGCATATTCACAGCCATTCTAATCTATATGTTTATTTTTCGAGATTTTGGATTTTCCTTTAAATAGTGAAACAGTTACAGAGTTCTGATCAGGTAAATCATTGTCTTCATCGTTGTTTTAAGAAATTATTTTCGCTTAAGAACTTGGATCATGTTGCTACATTTTTATATTAAAATACACTATTAAGTCGGACTTCTTTTTTTGCTTTACTTGTAGAAACTTAGTTTGACTTCTTCTAAAAGCTCTTCTAGGTCAAACCAGCCCAGCCAAGCCAAACGCCTTTAGAAAATTATCTAAATAAATTCAAAAACAATTCCTTTATCTTCACAAAGCTCGTTTTTCTACTTTTCAAAAGCCTTACCACAAACATTGCCTGTATCTATTCAACATTTTATATATTACTTTAAATATATCTTTAAGAAGTGCTTATAAACTGTTTAAATATAAATAGATAAAACAAGTGATTGATAAGTATGTAGTACTCGTAAATCTCTCGAAATATACGAATAAAAAGTAACTCGAGTGTTTATAAGCATAAGCCAAACATAGGCTAAATCATGAATGTCTCCCCATGCATAGTCTCCCCCATGTACTTTCTATATACACACAGCAATACATTATTGAAGAAAGAGATTCTGTTTCAATCTTTAGAAGATCAGGATACGGTCATTCTCCCATAAAGTTACTTACAACAAGTATATCTTGCCCTGTCAGCCGGCCCATCTCACCAGGACCGGAATAGATTTTCTATTTTTTTTTTTCCTTAAATAAAGGCCCAGGAGCGAATGTCCAGGCCCCGAAGAGCCCACTTAGAGGGATTCCGGACCGGGTCCAGAGCCAAGTCAAGTTGGCTAGCTCTTGGCCAGGACAGCTTAACCCCAAAGATGTTGAAAGCGGAACAACTCTGAAACATCTTGTTGGACCGAAAGGCGACGCAAAAATTGAGATTTAATAGTGTAATATAAAATATGTAAGATCATAACCAATAGAATAAGTTAAAGTAAAGAAACAAAAAGGCGAGTTAAGCAGAGGAACTGATACCTTATTCAATAACAATATGGAGAGAATACAACAAAAACAATAAAGCTTTTCAAATCTAGAAAAAGAATCTAGGGCTTGTTTGAGCCACATTATAAGGAAAAAATGCATTATTGATGTCAAATTAATTAGAAATGTGTGGTTAAAAATAAGAAAAAGTTTTAAATTTGTGTGTAATATTATTTTATTGAAAATTGTGTGATTGAAATGATGTCAAATCACTGTTGAAGAATGCATTTTTTTTGAAAATAATGTGGCTCAAACAGGGGCCTAATATTTATAGGAAAAAATCCACACCTAGAAGTAGAGTTGTAGATAAAAAAAAAAACGCCAAAAGCTTCCTTATTTGATCTCATCAAGTCCAACACAAATTCCACTATCGAATAGGCTTTCAAATAGAATAAATAGAACTTGTCAATTAAACTTGAATATGATTCCTCAAATAGCATTCCAATTAAAATTCCATTTGATGTGCACTTCAATTAGAACTCCACAATTATTTCAACAAGGGATTCGAGTCATACCCAAATTCTAACAATGCTCATCCCATTCTACATAATTCTGCTCATCTAAGTTGCTCTTTACTATCAGTGTAGCTTTTCTTCATGTAGTTTCATTTCCTTTTGATTGTATTGAAAGATTCAAAACCAAAAGAACATCCGAATAACTGGAAGAACGTACAAATTTCCAACAATTCTAGCTATACCATTGAAGGTTATGGTTCATGAAAAACGAATAAATTGGTACACATTATTGGACAAGAGAATAAGAGAAGTTCGTTTCTTTCTTAATATTGTCCAGTTGTATCCAATATTGCACACCATAATTCAGCAATATGAAAGAAAAGGAGAGTAATAAACTATGTAAACAGAATGAGAAGATTATGATGAACAAAATAGAATTTACAAACAAGAAACCAAAACTCCAAGATTCATTTGCAATTATTACTTAATTTATCAAATTGTTCTTATTCTCATTACAAATCTAGTGAACACTATGGTCTAAATAAACAAACTCTACAAACAATATGGTTTGAAGCACAGGTAAACGCATGTTTATACTGCAACAAGAGAAAAAATGAAGTCAAGTTGCCAACAATTGAAGTAAGAAGGGGCTTTGCTTACAAATTTGGGCCCTGGAATCCGTGCAAACATGCAAAGTTACATTGCCCACGTCTATAAATTCTTCAATTTGCTCTGATTTTCCAGATTGAATTGATGTGCTTCACAAATTGATCAGTAGAAATTCTTAAAAACATACGAAGTAAAATGCAACAGATGACAACAATGTGACTGCTAGCACAAGCAAGGAGACGTCTGGGCGGGATCCAGCATTTGGTAGATATGGATATTCATCGGGAGGTGGCATGACACAGTTGTCACCATTGAAATAGACTCTACGAGGAAAGGCCCAACCTTTCTCAAAAGTGAAAGTAGATTTGTCCTTTTGGAATAGAAGCTCCGATTGCACATTTCCTAGAGGGCCGGCTTGCATGAGCAAATCGTTGTAAAATTTAATACCCCATAACATTGCCGTGTCATCTGTTTAAGCGGAAAACAATAAGTTAAAATTGATGTTTATTCCCAAGCTCTCTGTCAACTAGTGGATAAAAAGAAGATAATGGTCATATACACTGGTGGTCATTAAACTTCTAGCGAAATTTCACGTAGTTCTCTAAATTCATTTTCTTTCAAGTTGGTCATTGAACTTAAATTGTGTTACAATTAGCTCACGCCAGTCTCCATCAATATTTGTTAGTTTGACCAATGGAAAAGGTAAAATGAGAGTCTTAGATGTCTCCCAATTAGGCCAACTAGTCCGTGCTGTCAGCTTTTCATTAGTCAAACTAACTGAAATGGGAAGAATGATCAAATTGTAAACTTTGCCATTCAGTGATCAAGCAACCAACTTTGAACTAAATGAAGTTTTGCAACCAATATGAAAATTTAGCCAAAAAGTTCAGTGATGACCAGTGCATTTTACCTGGGAAAAAACATTCTGCAAATGTAAATCTGACTTACTTATATCTTGATAAGGAGTTAATGGCTTGTAGTAGAAGCTGAATAACTGAGTTAGATTGTCGAAATTAGGATGTTGCACAACCAAGTTCCACTGTGTATAATTCATCCTGTAATTGAAGTTTGTGATTGTAACCTTCACCCGCCAGTAGTCCTTGTAGTTTAATTTGACATGCCAGTGGACTCGAATGGGGCACATATGGCTGGTGCATTGGACTAAAGGTGCATAATTATTCTTCCCATTGTCTGGAACAACTGAAGCAAGGTGCGGTGCGTCGGGACTGCAATGAGTAAACGCATAAGGACCCGCAAAAAAGTAAACAAATAAAGCTAAAGAAGATTGAAAGTTGAAAGGCTTACTTCACACAACTTCCTGGCTGAGTGCCATTATTTTGGCATCCACAAGTGCATGTTGGGCATGGAACAATAGTATCGTTGTAGAAGGATGAGAGTGAGACACAGCAAGTAGGAGTTTTTTGGGCCAGAAACTGTGAATATGTGCACGTAACATTCCACGTCACTGCAATAGGAAAAGGTTGAGAAGGAAAGCAAGGGTTTTCATGTGTAAAACAAAAATAAATAGGGACAAATTTTTGACACCTTATATGGTATTGGGACTGCAGAAATAGATTATATGCAAGACAGAACAGGTAGCAATTTTAAATGAGAATATTTTCCATATTATTTATTTTTAATTGACAAAAACATAAAGTTTTTGATTTACACTAAATCATAGTTGTAAGCTCATTGACAACATAATTTTGCCGCCTCCACCTTTGAAGATCACAAAATCAACAATATTTGCAACTATAGTGTTGAACTACCTCATTTAAAAGTTTAAGATAATAGAGAGGAGACAAATTTATTTATTTATAAATGTCTTCAACGGCCTCATCACATGCAGATTAGATTCATTTCTCATCAAAGGCATGACAAGTGGAATTTTCATAAACGGGAGAGCATACCATATTTAGCCACCCCATTTAAATGTTTAAGCCGATAAAGAGAGGATGAATTCATTTATTTATATTTTATCTTACACCAATAGAGTCTCTAAATTTGTACTAAATAACTTACTCATTGCTTGTGTCTGTCTTCTCCCGTCTTGGGACATAAACTTGGTAGGTTTCCCTACTTTAGCAGGTCCACAAGTATAGCCCGGCCCTGGTGCTTTCAATGTGAAGTTCTTTGGCACTCTAACAGTTTTGTTGGTGGTTCCAGCCGCACCAACACTAACCTGGAAAGAGCTTGCAAAATTGGATGGATCTTGCACCCATGAATTAATTACCCCTCCTTTGCAACAATTCGCAATCTGTTGGTTGTATGGAGTTCCAGGCAGTAGGTCAACAACCGTTGGATTTTTTTTGCAGCAATGTGGAGTGTTCCCTTTGTATCTCGAACAATCTCCTTGTTCTGTTGTTTGAGCACCCATCATGCTCCATATCACCTCCTTCTTTGCCCACGTCCATCCCAAAGTCCAACCAGGGGCTTGAATGTGACGATATTGTTGGAAGTTGTACATTGTCACCACAGCCTGACCATTTTTAGAATAAACGCACCAGATTAGTGAATCGGACAACGAATAAAAGGAAAGGAAGACTATAATGTTGGTAGGACTATAATTGGCATTGAAGAATAATATGGAGTAAATCTTAATCCATAACTCTAAAAGCAATACTAAACGAAAGATATGCCTCGTATTCATAAGAAGATGTCCAAACTGACCTACATTATATTTCTGTCCAGGAGCTATCATAAGATGGTTAACCATGTCACTTGTAGTGACCACCGAACATGGAAGAGAAGAAATATATTTCAACATGCATTTCAGAAAATGATAATATAGTTTTTCCAAGTATCAATATTCAGAAAACTCAGACAGACAATGCAACAGTTGACAAATGGCAAGCTCAATTGGGATAATGGGATGATATGAAAATATGCTCGAGCATTAAAGAAGCTTGAAAGAAAATACATTTAGGATTCTAAATTCAACACTTGATGGGCTGCTGAATAAATTTATTATCCTTTTGTAAAAATAAAATAGAGTTGTAATGACGGAAATATAAGACAATACAGAATTTACTAGAATACTTACAACATAGCCATCGGGAGTCCAAGTGATGATATCCCATTTAATTGTGATATTTCCATTAGGATCAAGCGCATCATAGGCCTCTGTAGAAAAAGACCAAAATGGGCAGACAACAAAAACATAAGATATTTTGTTCATTCAATTCATTTCCTTCCACGGATTATAAACTTGAGAAATGAATTTGTGTTACGGCATATAGTCGAACTGGAAATTCAATGTTTTGCTAAGAAGAAAGACAATATCATATTCGTACATCATTGTGATGACATCCAGGGAATGTAAACGTTACCAAAGTGGACATCTCATGTGATGTGCCAATGGTTTAATATGCATTGCAAATGATGGTACAAATATTATATTATGAGATTTATGAAAAACCTAAAAGAGAGACAAAAAATAAAAAATAAAAAAATCACCAACAATTTCCAATTCTCATAGACATATGTCCGATAATCATGGTGACTTTGAAAATTCCCCTTTTTTTTTCAAATAAACTATAATGATGTACTTGATGGACACCATTATATAGTACTGGAGTGGACAATGATCAAGAATTCAACTTCTTTTTCTTCCTCAATCATGTCCACTACTGTCAAGTTTAGCATAAACATATACCTTAAATATACCTTCTAACTACTACAAACCCCAAACAGAAAGAAATTTATCAGTAGCATTGACGACAGATTAAATCTAGGAAACAAAGAAAAATAAAAAATTTATACATATGTAGCTCATACAGATTAATTTTGTTCAATGGGAACAATCAAGTATTAATTTTGGAAAATAAGCTACTTCAATTTTCTTTAGCAAGAAGCAGATTACACAAGCTTAGTGTAGTTAAGTTCAGTCCAACCCATCCCAAGAAACGCCTATGAAAGACTTTATGCACTTAGATTGCTAGAGCCAGTAAAAATATGAATCAAAGATCTGAACTTGTTGATAATCAGATCAGGCCCATCTCCTCGAAAATTGATTAAACCCACTTCAAGAAAAGCATCCAAATCAAGAAAATTGATAGAGAAAAAGGTAATACACACCCGATGAATTGAAGCAGAAGCAAGAAAGCAAGGAAAATAGGAGAATGATCGGAGTTGTAATTTTGCTTAAAGATCTGAAACAGAGCTCCATTTCTTGATCTCTGTAGATCTGCAACTCAAGAGAAAGCGGTGGGAAGGAAAGCGTAAGTGGACTTCAAATGGTCTTTAACAAGTAAAGTAAACTGTAAGATTCTTGAATGATTTAAGTAAGAATTATTCAAGAAAATGATATAAATACAGCTTCGTAATACTAATTGGCACTGGGTTTTACTTTTATGACATGAAAATGACACTCCAGCTAATTCGCACTCCAATCTCATATATATTCTTCATTTTTATGTCAATTTTGTGTAGAATTATTTTTAAATTCAACGCGTTAAGAAATAGTGTGCAACGTAGTTATAAATTTATAAGATGTTTTGTCTGAATATGATCGGTGTACTTATATGTAGAGCCTGTTTGGAAGTGATTTTGAGAATTGATTTTTTGACCGTTAAGAAAAAAATGGGGTCCACCTGTGAGAGAAGAAGTCAAATATGACGACTGAAATAATGAAATAACGGTTAAAAAATCAATTTTTTGGGTGAAAAATGGAGCCCAAATAGGCTCGTATTTTGATCAATAAAACTTCATATTAACTGATAAAAAAAATATATTTTTGTTTCCCGTACTTTTTCCACAAAAATGAAAAATATGATCGTTATACATCGTATCAAATTATCAAATTTAAATTTTTGTTTCTTCTGTGAAGCTTATAATTATTATATTTTTTATTCACATTCTTTTGAAAATAAGAAACAAACGAGGCTAAAAATAAATTTTCAAACTCAAGCCTTTGCCGACGATGGATAGAGAAAGACATCTGCTTAGTGCTTACTGTCCAGAAGCTGGCGGCAGAATGAAAAATTTGGCTTGACTATTGATTAATTAAATTTTCATTTTAGGAAAATTGCCCCAATGGTCCTCAACCTATTACTCTTGTTGTAAATTAGTCTCTCACCTTTATAATATAGCAAGTTGATCCTCAAAGTTTTATTATAATAGTTGCACATTCATTCTATATTCACTAAAATTTACCAAATATATCATTAAGTTGTCCTTGTATGTTTTTTTCTATAATGAAATTAAAATTAAAATTTTAATTTTAATTTAAATCAAAATCAATTATTAATTTTAATCATATACTTCGTCCCTGTTTGACAACTATTACTCGAAAACTCTTTTTTTCTACATACTGATTTTCAATCATATGTTTGCACAATAAAATATTTTACATGTAAATTCAAAAAAAAAATCTACTCTTTAACTACACATTATCTTGAAAATCACTATTTAAAACATTATTTTTTAATGAAAAATGACAAGCAAACAAGGGCTTCATGGAATCAACAATTTTTTAATCTCACACACACACACACACTCTTCATCAATTTTTATCAAAATTTATGAAAATTTTAATTTTAATCTCCACTAAATAAGGGCTAAATTTTGCTTCATAACTTGGATTGATATTTAGAAATCTGACAACATATTTTCATGAGAGTTACTTTACAATTTAATGAATATTTAGAATATTTTGGTCATTAAAGACATTCATGTGCAACTATAATGTAACATTGGGTTCTAATTTCCTCCTTTCATAAGGTAGAAACCAACTTGCTATTGATGTAATAGATTAAGGATCAATGGTGCAAAATATCTCTAATCGCCACGTTATGTTTTAATAATTTTTTTATTAATCCTACGATCTGTCGGTGACTCGGACCACTCGGTCCATAGGAATTCCGCGTCAGGGACAATAGCAATAGTGAGGTGTGGGATCCACTATTTGATTATTTAAAATTCCATTTCTATTACACTCATTTTTTCAAAAAATCATGTTTTCCTTCCTTTTAATTGCACATCTTGAAAAAAAAAAAAAATAAATAAATATATATATATATATATATATAGACACACACATACAAGTACGTAAGGGTGGGCAAAAACTGAATCGAACCGCTCAAACCGACCGATGGTTTGGGTCAATTTTTGCACCCAAATGGGTTATGTTCGGGTTATAATTTTTCATTTTCTATTGGGTAGGGTCAGGTTATAAGTTACCCTTTAAAATCGCCCCAACCCGACCCTTACAGCAGATTAAAACAAAGAAAAAAAAAATCAAAATCAAAAGACTAAAAAACAGAAAACGTATAATATGTCTGAATAAAGTAATTGACCACAACTAATGATTAAGGACTTTTAATTCGGCACGATTAAAGCATCGATTTATTCTATTGTGTAATGATTCAAATTTGAGCAGTTTGTGCATATAATATAATTTTGTATGTGGTTATAACATTGCATGCTTTTGTCTTCCAGAATTTTTTTCGTTTGGCTATTGCTGTGCAATCTGAATTAGGCTGTTTTTCAAACCTTTGGTGTAGTTGCCCATCTCGATTTTGTTAAGTATGTGCTGATCGAATAGTAAATGCATTTTGGCACTTTTTCTATCATTGATTTGTTTACAACGAAAATGTTAAAGTGATCGAAAATGATTGACAGAAGGAGTGATCGCCTCTTACATGTGGTGAATTCTGCTTGAATAAAAAATTATTCCTCCCCCTATTTTTGGGGTCTCTGTCAGGGAGGCTGTTTGTTAGTATAACATGATTCTTGTTTACAATTGCATGTTTAGGAATAAAATGATTAAATTTATGGAAAGTTTATGAACAAGGTATTGTGATATTCATGAACCTTCTGGAAATTCCTATATTAATTAATATTGATTTCAGTATTTAATTTGATTGAACATGCTTTTATTGTTCAACAACATTGGACCAAAATTACACGAACCAAATCAACCAATCCAACCTGACTAGAACTTGGTGGGTTACATAATTGGTTTTGGCTTGTTTAAAAAATCAACCCATGCCCACCTTGACAAGTAAGAATGACAAAGATATTTGGGAAAATTACCCAAATCCCTACACTTTATGTTACGCCTCGTATACGAAGCTCTAAGTGGAAGCCACGTGGAGGCCCTACCTCTAACAGTAGACAAGATCAAGAAGAAAAAAGGAAAAAGCTCCATGTCCGAAGCACTACCTCCATTTGATGTTCTTTGCCGAGCTACTCTTCCACCTGGCCAAAGTCGTCTCTTTAAGCCAAATTGCATATTACCTTTAAAATGGATCTGCAAAGTAGGAATGATTGATATACTGTTTGCATTAATAAGTGTCAAAAATATCAGTCTATAGTGTAGGGCCGCTGATCCTTTGTCAATGCATTTAATGTATGATAGAGTGATGCGAGTTTTACATGCTTGAGTTTTGTAATTTTTTATATTTTTTAGTGGAGTTGTCTGTGATTGATTATTTTGTTTGCGATCATTCTTGATCACATTTTCAGTTCCCAAACATTTTCGTCTTGTATCGTAGAGCATCTCCCAAGTCCATTATCGTTATAAGTCTTTGATCGTATCCCTAGTCAAAACGTACCGAAATTTGCTTGAGTGGTCATAAGTGGCGTCCAACATTTGTTATCCATGGTGCCATTATAAAAACGGGGTCAACACTTTAGGTTTCAATTTCAACAATAAGAATTTAACAATTTTTTATCAAAAATAAAGTTATAATTTATTTAATGTTAATGCATATATACCCTATTACAACTAACCATGTAAAATCAAAATCCAGTCGCTCTAAAAAGCCCTAGCAATCCTTCTTTGCCGCCAATGCTATGTCGTCTACCACCGATACATCTACCAATAACTATGTCATGGAATTCAACTCGACTGAATAAATCGATTCAGGATCGTGAGGGTCGAAGAACTCCATGTAAATCTAGTGAAGATCTTCATGTGAGCAAGAGGATTAAGTGCACATGAATGAATTCACCTATAATTCTAATTTAACAGATTCTTCAATAATGAAGTTCTTACTTACAATTTGCATAAGGAGTTCTTCAAGAATGCTTGAGTCCTTGAAATTCTTCAATAATGGAAAATTATAGTTGTCCATCACGATTTTATTGTATGCTTGAGTCCTAAGGATATTAAATGTGCCTTTGTAGCACATGCCTCAAATAATAAGGCATATCGATTATTAAACTTAGAATCTAATGTTATAATAGAATTAAGGGATGTGGAGTTCTTTAATAATGTATTAACAACAAGAAATTTTCAAAATGGAACTCAGGTGGTCATTCCAGCTTCTAGAGAATCACAAGTAGAAACCTCTCCAATAGATGTTGAACTATCAAGTGAAACTCAAAAAAACAAAAAAGTTATAAAAAAAAGGGTTTATGATCGGATGAAATAGACTTTCAACTTATTTCTCTCCACTTAGTTGAGGAAGATAGGAAGGATGTTATAAAAACAATCCCCTTTATTCTTCAAGTTGAAGGTGGTCCTAAGATTTATAAAGAAGTTATGTCTTATAAAGATTAAATATCTTGAAAAGATACAATAAATAATGAAAATGATTCTATTATATCTAACAATACTTGAGAAATTGTTGAATTACCAAAAGAATATAAACACCTGGTTGCAAACAAGTGTTTAGAAGGAAATGCAATTACAATGGTATACTTAATAATTATAAGCCATATTAGCAGCTAAGGGACATCGACAAAAGGAAGGAGTTTACTATTTTGACACATGCAACTATAGTTAGAATAACATCGATAAGTATTTTATTTGCATTAGTATCAATATTTGATTTACATGTTCATCAAATAGATGTTAAAATGATATTTTTAAATGGGGTTCTCGAGAAGAAAGTCCATATGGAACAATCGGAAAGGTTCGTTTTGCCTAAAAATGAACATAAAGTACGTAAATTAGTTAAGTCCTTATATTGATTAAAAGAACCACCTAAAAAGTGTTGATTCTACAATTATGTTAACTGGTTTTATTCATAATTTAGTAGATAAACGTTCGTATACTAAAGTATGTTACAGTATTATTACATTCGTGCATCTTTATGTGGATGATATGTTAATTATTAGTAATAACATGAAAGTGAATAAAGAAATGAAGATGTTTCTATCCTCTACGTCCAAAAACGAAGGATGGTAGTAGGCATTATTCATTAAGCCAATCATATTATGTTGAGAATGTGATAAATAAATTCAAACATTTGAATATTAAAGAGTTATGTTCCCCGTTTGATCCAAATATCAAGTTAGTAAATAATGATGGAAGAGCAAAGTGTAATTGAAAGTTTTATGTACGTGGTACAATGTAGAAGATCGGATATTGCATTTTTTGTGAGTAAATTAAGTAGGTTAACTAGTAATTCAAGTTTGAAACATTGGAAAGCCATTGTAAAGG